TAGGGATCCGGCATGAGGCTGTGTTATTCTAAGTTTAAATCCTGGGTGTATTGTTCTAGACCTGGCTTACCCGAGCGGACAACTCGAGCCGGGGGGGAGGGGGAGGGGAGGAGGGGCAGCGTACCGGGAATACAGAAGCTTCACCGGCTTTGCAGCTTGTCCGAACCTCGTTCTAAAATTAGGATATGACTCTAACAGAAAAGAAGCCACGCGAAGCGCACGCTTCCCAGAAAATTTAGAAGACTCGGAGAGAAGAAAGGTTTTCGTAACAGTTTATATACAGTTCACAACAATATCAAAGCGGTAAAGAGAGACAATTAGCATATTAGGCTCAAACAAGTAATATCAGACAATCATGAAAGCCAAGCATAACAGTTATTCTAAGCTCGAATTCTGAACCCTGAACCAGAGATTCTGGGTTCAATCCCCAGCAGAGTCGCCAGAGCTGTCACACCTCCTTTTCCCCAAAGAGGAATAGCGGAGTTTTTCCAATTTCAGTGACATTATTCGAAATGGGATTATTTATTTAGTTCAGAGTCGCCACTTGGAATAATTTATGGTGTCCCAAGTCACCGGTTTATTTTAAATCCCAAATCGAGAAAATTTGACTCTATTTATGGTCTACGAACACAGAAGACCGGGTAAGGAATTCTGTTAACCCGGGAGAAGGTGTGAGGCACTCCCGAGTTTCGTGGTTTTAGCACGATCGCTTAACAATTAATACTTCGCCTAATTATCTGATTTATTACATATTTAAAGCCTATTGTGCATTTTTACTTTTTAACCACTTTTAATTATTTATGAAATTATTTCTGGAACAAGTCACGATGTCGTACACTTATCGTTTTGGCACCCGTCGCAAACCGCGCCACATGAAATGCACCCGCGATTTACGACATGCTTATTTTATTATTAATCGAAGTTATGGTCGGGTCACATGAAATGCACACCCGAATTGAAATTTACGTATCGTGACCATGCCACGGGAACCGTACCCATGACCACGATAATTTATTAATCGCACCTAAAGCAAACTACGAATGTTTGTGAATATTAACGACCTAAACATGCTTCTAGCGTTCAATGAGTATCTAGTAATAACGAAATAGAAATAAAACATGTCATCTACTGTCCAACTCTCTTAAGCTTAATTTCTTAATTCTGTTCGAACTCTCATGGTCCAATCCCATTTACTCACAATTGCCTCCCTACGGGCATCTAGTGCCCCTCTTCAACTTGCGTATCAACATGTATTCACAAGACAAGATTGTCAAATTGTCTATTGTTAAAAGCTCAATCAAAGATTCAAGTCAAATGGATTTAAAAAGGAGAAATCAAAAACTAGTCGTAAAGCAACGATTAAAACATGGTGTGAAAACAAACGTAGACCAGCACATGAGAAAATTCGAGAAAAGGAAAATAACAGGGGAAAGATTGGACCTGAAATGGAGCCTAAATTTCTTCTTTGAAATTTAATTAATAATGAATCGATTTCCTTTGATTACAGCAGAATCAAACTCTGAACTTCAAACTGGACCGAGAAATAGACACCTCGAACCGGAGAACCCGCTGATGAAACCTCGACGAACCTCGCCTGCCTCAACTCCCAAACTCGCTGGATTCCATGGTTGCGTTTTTTTTATAAACATAAATGGTGTTTCGGAGCTAAAGCGAGGAGCTATTTGGATGAGCTATGACATCGTTTTTTGGCTGATTTCCTGGCTTAGGCGAGATGCTGCCTTTTCCCTTCGTTGTTCTTTGTTCTAATGGTGTTAATAGTTTGAAAAATCAATGGAATCTTCTGTTTCTTCTCGTCTGAAACTCCTATTTCTCTATTTTTGCTCGTCCGTTTTTATGTGTGTAGGGGCTGATTTCCGGTGAGTCTTGGTGGTGGCCGGCGCGGTCAAAGGAGGTGGGGGAGTGCGGCCCTTAGCTTAGGAAATGGGGCATGGAGTTCAGTTTTTAACTGCTGGTTTTTTTTCTTTTGCTTCTTGCGGCTGATCTAGGGAGTGTAGGGATTGGTGGTGGCTGCCGTTCTTAGGGGTGTTTTTAGTGTGAAAACAGGTAATTTTTTTGTGAAAGGGTGGAGTCTTTCTTTGTGTGTCTGTTGGGTGGTGTTGAAGTGTAAAGGAATTAGGTTTAATTTAGGGATTATAAAAGGGTTGTGGGTTAGGGAATGGGTAAATGGGCTGAGGGGAGGAGTGGGCTCATGTCCGAAAATGGGCTTCACCAATAAATTATTTTGGCCCAAATTTAATTCTTTCTCGTTGATGAAAAATAAAAATACTACCAAAATAAATTAATTAATATTAGTTAATAAGAATAAACTATTTTTGTGTTTTTAAACTTATGTTTTAAAATAAAAATTAAAAGTTGATGGAAAATCCTATAAAAATGAAAATAAGTAAATATTTTTGAAATACTACTTTTAAAAGTTACGCGGGTCAAAAATTACGTGCTTACACTTTTTGTATATTTTTTGAATATAAAAATTTTAATTGTAAAATATTGAGATGATCTAATCCAATTTAGCTTCGAATACAAGTCAAATTAACCATCGAAAAGCGAAACAATGACAACTAATTTGGGACGGGAATTATTTTTTTTTAATCGAAACTCATTTGGACTATGGATCAAATCACATTAAAGGAAAAATAGATCTAAAATGGGTATGACCCATATTAGCTTATGTGGCATTTATTTTTAGATTTTTATCATAAAATTTAATGCCATGTCATATTTATGGTAGAGATTTGAGGCAAAATGACTTTTAAGTGACAATGATAAAATTTAGTTACTTTTAAGTGACAATGATAAAATTTAGTTACTTTTAAGTGACAAAAAATAGTTAAATGACTTTAGTAAAATGGAAAGATAGTTCAATGACCATTAATGAAATTAACCCATTCAAATTCTAGAAACATTCACATATTCGTAGTAAAAGACTTGTACTTTCATTTAATTTTCATAAGTCTTAAATTAAGAAAATGCACATCAGATTTTTATTTCAACAATGGACATTTTCTTTCTAAATCATTTAATAAAGTTGTTACTCCTTCCTTTCTTATTATTGTTTTCCAAAAGTAATTAATGAAAGCCAGGATCCATATGATTTCCAGCGAGACGATCAGCTGAGGGTCGCAACAGCATATCTGGTGGTGTCGGTGCCGCAGCTGGTGATGGAGATGGTGCCATATCATCAGCTGGAGGAGAAGGTGGTGGTGGTGACGGCGACGGTGGTGGTGGTGACGGCGATGGAGGTGGTGGAGAAGGTGACGGAGGTGGTGGTGGTGGCGACGGTTGTTGCCGCTTAGGTGGAGGGCTATGGGAAGGGCTACTTTTAGGAGAACTTTTAGGAGATTTCCCAAAGAAAGGCTACTTAAACTTAAAACGCTGAAGAGTTGCATCAGGCAAACTTTCAATGCCATCTCCATTAGTGAGCTCTGAGAATGAGCTAACTACTAAAATAGAAAATTGTAAAAGCACTAGGGCCTTCACTGAAATGACAGCCATAGTTTTTATTTGAACTCAAATGTGCATAAAAGACTGCAAATGCCAATGGATTTATAGGAGCGTGAAGTAGGATATTGTGAAGCTTTCGGTGAATAAATATGTGCTCTCTTTTTTACCCTTCTTTACTTAGTTTAAGGTTTTTGTTCGCAACGAGGTAGGTAATTAGGAGAAAACGTTTTACTTCCAAATTAAGACAAACAATTAAATTGGTTAAGTGTTTCCATAAATAGTACTACTCATTTGCAGTAGATTAAACATTTTTAGCCTAAAATACATAATATATGAAAAGACATCAATTAATTTCCAAGTTATGAGTAATTCCACAAAGACGACGTAAATTATTTACAAATAATAACAGACATTCTTTGTAGCTCATGTATTCACATGTTATACCGTATAATTCGAAAATGTGTTACTGTTATTTTAAAGGTAAAATCAGTTTTTTAAAGGTATGGGCGTAAATTGAGTTTACATATACATCAGCGAGTCATAAACCCGATGCATGGGGTGCAACCACTATGAGCATTTAATTTTTAATATTTTATAAAAAAAAAATATATAATTACATTAAATATTTTTAAATCGGTAAAATTGCATAAAAATTGAAGAAAATTAAACTATAAATAAGTGAAAAATATATAGATGAGTTCCATCTCCACAAAAAATTAGCCAAAATAATCTGTTCTTTTCAACTCAAGTTACTTGTGCTTACAAACACAAGTGACTTGAGTTGAAAAGAATAAAGTTTTCAACATAGAGAAATAAAAAAAAAAATGATTAACCTGCAATTTGAACTTTGAACTTTGAACTTGCTGCTATGGAGGAGAATGAAGTTTTCTTTGTATTTGCAAAAAAGAAAATATTGGTTGTTCGTTGCTTTTGGAAGATAGTAGCAGACTAGCAAACACAATAAAAATGTGGAAAATACCATAAATTAGGACTTCTAGCAATAAAAAAAGAATTTTGACTTTTAGATTTAATGTTTCATTTCCTTTTTAAAACTTTTAAATAATTACAACGTGACTTTTCAGAATTTTGGTCTTTATATATAGGACTTGTTGGCCAAATTTTGTTTTTGTTTGAAAAAGTTTTTTGGGCTTACGTCTCATTGTAAAAACGCACCTCGATGTCCGGACGTACACATCGAATTGCTCGGCTTACGTCTCTTGAGACTTTCGCCTTGACCCCCTTGCTTCAAGGCATTTTTGGTGCGCCTAGTTCGGGGCTCACCCACAAATACCTTTTAAAACACGGTGTAAAATACGTGAATCAACATTTTCCTTATATGCAACTGCTCCTCTGATAATTAAGCCTGATTATATCCTTGCGCATTGTCATTGTTTATGTATTTTCTGATCATGTCATAAATAAAAAAGGTAGGAAAGCAATATCTAGAAATGCAATTCTAGAATTTTTATTAGTCAATAGTTACTATTACTATTCAAAGTCTTTGTAAGTTTCACAATAATTTGGATGTACAAATGAAAATCAACATCCGATCTTCATTTTTCTTTCATTTTAAACTAGAACTAGAGAAGGGAAAAGGAAAAAGATTTTACGAACACGAACTTAATCGTTCCATACTGTTGTTATTCCTTCCTACTACATGACTATTTTTTCCCATAATAGTGAAGGCCACGCATGATTAGTGTATTTCCAACGAAACGAGCATCTGATTTTGTCGGTGCCATAACTGGTGCCTGAGAATCCGGTGATGGAGATGGTGCGTCTATATATTCTGCGTCTGGTGATGGTGACGGTGGCTGAGCATCCGGTGGTGGTGGTGGTTGTTCAGCATCTGGTGGTGGTGGTGGTTGCTCTGCATCTGGTGGAGGAGGTGGTGGTTGCTGATCAGCCTCTGGTGGTGGTGGAGACTTAACAGTTGGTGGTGGCGACTTAACTCGTGGTGGTGGTTGCTGCCTAGGTGGAGGATTACGGGGACGTTGACGTGAAACGGGTGGAAACTTAAAACGCAGAAGAGTTGCATGAGACGAAGTTTCAACGTCTTTTCCATGAGTCAGTTCTAAAAATGAGCAAACTACTAGAACTGAAAGTTGTATAAGCACCAGGGCCTTCGCAGATATGATAGCCATACTTGTTAACTGAAATCAAATGTGAGTACGTAAAACAAAGTAAAGGGGAACGAATTTATAGGAGTTTAAATGGATACAATTAAATGGATTTATGCTATAATGAAATAGAATTTCAATGGCAGAAGTTGCAGTAAATAAAACATTTTTAGCCTATAATGTCGTAGTAGAGGCAAAATTATTTATAAACAATTAAATAAACCTTCTCTGTAGCCTATGTGTTCACATATTCTATTGCTTTGTTGTTTGCAGTTAGTTTAAGAAAAACTCGTGTTAAAACTAATTTTATAGTACTCTGTATCACTGAGATGTGAAACTTTGTTGATTAGGAATTACTGATATGTACTATGCTATTAAACCGATCAAGAAAATGTAAGGTTCCACAAGTTTCCCTTCTTTTACCATAATTTTATACTTTCCAGATAAAGGAAAAAAGTTAATAAGACTACCCCAAAAGTTAGTTGAGTTTTTCCTTTTACATTTGAGCCCATTTAATTTGGACATAAGAAATTTTTCTCTTTTTTCCAAAAAAATTTCACTTTTTTTTCGAAAATCATCGTTTGTTCATAAGATTTTGAATTTTCACTTGAAGATACATTTTTGAAATTTTCAAAAATTTGAAAAACTCCAAAAAGCTATTTTTCAAAATTGTCACTCAAATCACTTACAAAACTTCAAAAACAATCCAAAATTATATTCATATCCAAACACAACTCTAAATTTCAAATACATTTTCACTTAAAATTTTTTTTTCCTATTTTGAAATTTTACAATTCTTATGTCCAAACGCCCACTTAAAGTTGAAACAAGTCATACAAAACTCCTAAGTTGGTATGACTTCTTGGTAAGACCGTGACAACAATTTCAGTACATAGACAAAATTTGATCACGCCCAACTATGCCTTATAAAAAGAACTTACCGGTCATTGCAAATATATTCCGGCTAATAAGTCCGGAGTCGAATCCCACAGGGAATTAACCTATCAAACACAACTACTAGACTCGCACAAATTCACGCAATCAATCTTCAGAAATATTTAAGTAACAATTTGGATTTTTATTAACTAAATATTACGTAATAAAAATGCAATAATTAATAACTAACTACGAACGGGTTGTAAACAAGAATTGGAATGACCTAAGGTTGTGAATTCCCCTATTGTCGGAATCTTTTCCGCTAAATTTTCTATAAATTTGCCTAAGTCTTCTCCATCGACCATGAGCACTCTAACTGTCGTAACTCTCTCCCGAATAATTACCACAATTTACTAGACATATTCTCCTAAATTACGCTAGCTGGCATTAAGTACAGCTCATTTAGATCGCACCAAGGTTTCGTTATCCCTAATCCTATCTTTAAACCTCCGTATTGATTCCTCGTATACGTTTAGGAGTTATGTTATTCAATAACTACCTAAATATGCACTCTCTCCCGAGTAATACATACTAAATAGGTACAGCTAATTGAGGGCCCTTCAATCAACCACAAGAATAATATAGTTGAACAAATAAAGAAAATACTACGGCAAATTTATATTAACGTAACAAGAAAATCATCCTTCAATAGGTTCCATCAAAACCTTAGACTATAAATTTAGCTCCTCATGATCAAAGTAATAATATCCAAAGTATGTTGCATAATTAAAGTACAAGATAAAAATAAAGTGATGTAGAAATTGTTGACTCTAACTCCCGGCAGTTGTTCTATGAGCTATCCTTGCCTCGGGTTGCAAAAGTCCTTCCAAGTGGAATTTTATGTCTATTTATATGTGTAGGAAAAGACCTAAACGTGTAGGACAAGTCCTAGTCAAACCCGAAAATGAATTAAATCTTTCAAACTCGGATTGGACCTGGCCCAGGCCTGGCGTCGCCAGCCTAACACCTGATGAACCTGGCTCCAGGCCTGACGCCGCCAGCCTAACGCCTGGTTCTGCTTGGCCTATGCCTTGCGTCACCATCCTAACGCCAGCTTCAAGCCTGGCCTTTGCCTTGCAACGCCAGCCTAACGCCAGCTTCAAGCCTGGTGTCACCAGGTTCTCTCATTCACTGATCCCGCGCACGCTTTTGACTTGTAAGTCTCTTTTTTCTTCTACTTTCATCTCCAATTCACCTACACATAAAATGGACCCTATTACACGCAAATAAATTGTACTTTATCATTAAAGCGTATAAAAATACAAGGCAAATAATGTGCTAAATCATGAATTATAGCCACACATCAATACCCCACACTCAAATATTGCTCGTCCTCGAGCAATCAAACTACATTCATAGACACAACCTATTAAGCAATTCCCTTAACTCATTAAACCAAGAATCTTTAAAATAGTTTAAGCACAAAGGTGTGACATCCTCGCCTCAAGATTCGACCCGCAAATACCATGCCTTATTCACAATTCACTTACTTACTCTACATGGAAGTCAACAACATTACCTTTCCTTTATGAATCATGTGCTCTCACTCAATCAAAGAGCTTAGTTCCACACACAATGAGCTTTAAGAACATAGGAACTCCAGATAGACAAAATTCACTCGCTCTCAGAAATAACATTCATATGCCACAAATGATGCACCATAGGCTTGTCTGTAGTGTAATACTCTACTAATCGAGTTCATTCAATCTAAGATCAAGTAGGACTTTCATTGGTTGTAATGTAAGCTGCGGGTCGTGTATGATACATTTGGATATGAGTGACCGTACCTCCCTTAAGCACTTTAATACATATACTTTAATACACAACCCGTACTTATGTCAAACCCAACATTCCACCTTTACTTCAATTTATATAACCCCATATTTCTTTAATCATACATATATCACTAGCCACCATCATCAATACTTATTTTTCATACAATATATCATTGTCATTCATTTGTTTTTTCAAGTGACTTCGATTGACAACTCTTTTTTTTTAATGCATCTTTCTCCTTATTTCAATTGTTCCACTCAAAAGCCAACCCACCACCCCACACTTTAACTTTTTCATAATTCCTTACAATTCAAGTGCTCATGAGAGGTGACAAGGTTCAAATATATGGTCGATTAAAATAAAAGGGTACGGCTTGTAATGTGGTTACCAAAGAAATAGGATTATAGGCTCAACGGGGTTAACTACGATACATAACATTTAGGTGGGTAAATTTATATGTCTGGCTTAACAAAGAAATGCCTATATCACTTCCTAGACTGAACAATACTACTATTTCACTTCGCACACACACGGGGCAAGTTCTAGACGCAATGCATAGAATACATACAAAACCTCACACAGACATGGCACATAATTCACTCAGGATTGGTTTCATTGTGACACTCCAGTCAAAACAGTTAAGCAAAATTAAGAATCCACGATTTTAGGTACTTATACTAGAGTCAAAAACCGAGCCTAAGCGTCACAACCATAGTACTAACTATTCTCAATGCATAACAAACCTAAGAGATATTGCTATACTTAAAGGCATAGCTCCGTGATTTCTACTCCTAAAAATTTAAACTAACTATACCCGGTTCAACTAAATACCCCTGGAAAAAAACCGCGGCCCAAAAAAAAATCAAGGGGGAATTGCTACACTACCTACACAAAAGAAAATCTTTTTGGTATTTTCTTTAGACTTACTTCCCTCAAGAAAACTGTCTAGGAGATCCATCGTCGGGAAGAGTCCAATTTTTTTGTTTTTTATTTTTATTTTTCTAACTAACACTAAATAACTAAAACACATAGCCAAATCAATTACTAAACTAATACTAAAACACATACTAAAACAAAGTAAACAAATACTAAATAACTAAAATTAACATGTACAAGTCCCCACCCCACACTTAGATCATGTATTGTCCTCAGTACATGCACAAAATTACAAAACACAAAAAATGAGTAGGGTGTAAAGAAACTCCCTGATCAAGCAGCGTCTTCGTCCTCTGACGCTCTCCACTCTTCATCATGTTCGTCGTCCTTCTCCTCATCTCCCTCACCATCTGACTGCTCTGGCTCAGCCTCAGACTGCTCCGATATGTTGATATCCTCATCATTGGGGAGTCTGTATCTATCTCCTAACCCAACTAGCTGCTGGGCATGAGCATTGAGTGGGTAACAGTGCTCCAATTCAGTCCTCTCCTCAGATGTGGCCGACGACCCCCTATCCGCAGCTGCATATCCATCATCCCACAGAGGTGGGCCATAAAATTATCATCACGTGCATTACGCTCAGCACCTGTCAATGAGGGCATGGCAGACTTATCTTTCATTCGGAGATTAGTGATGTCCGTTTGTCGGATGGGCTGATCGATGGTGTGGTCAAATGCAGGCTCCTCCTCAACCCCCTCGTGCTTTAAGAACCGAGTCAAGAAATTAGCGAATGGCATTCGATCTATTTTCTTACTCGTTCTCATTGATGACATCTGGTAACGGATCAGATGACCCACATTCACCCTTTGGCCTGTCATAAGGAAGTATAGCACACAGGTCCTCTCACGGCTCACGAGCATGTCATGATTGCACGGTAGGAGCCGTGCATTTATCAGTTTAAGCCACACATGAGCCTCTGCCTTCATCTTCTTCTTAGGGAATCTCTTGTGACGGTTTGTTACCTTATCCCGAACCCATGCAGCCATAGAGTCGACACCACAGAGCATGTGCCTCAGCTCTCTATATGTAGGCCGGCGAATGAATTGATCCAATGGCTCCACATGAACATTTGTTGCACCTAAAAAGTCGCATATAGCCGTGGCTGAAAAATCTATCAAACATCCATGAATTGGCACCAGCTGCTTAGTGTCCTGTGGGTCAAACCTTGCATAGAATTCCCAGACTAGATTGAGATTGATATCCCTTGTGTTCTTAAAAACATATCTTAACCCCAAATACTGGATGCCTCTCCAAATTGCATGATACTTCGCTTTCAGGCTACGTTCCTGGATGGCTGCTTTCGGATGGACATGTTTAGGCCTACAACGCCTGTACCAATCCCTCGTATGCGGGGGTATGCTATTTATGCCAAACTCCCGTTGGCCTTGGTGTTGTGGAC